GACATGAACTTTCCAGACACTCTAATACAAACTGCAAACAAAGTGCTCCTGACCCGATATTATAAGTAAAGAGGAAATAATACTACATAAAATTTGTTCATTTAGTGCTATGCTTTTGAGAAAATTAAGTTTGCAAAAGTTTTTTATTACTATTATTCGTTACACATTGGCATTTATTATGGTGTGCAACTATTGATGAATTCACTGAATATTTAACATTCATTTGTTCACAAATTAAATTTAATAGAAGAAAACTCATTCCATTATATTCTCTGATTTTCTTCTTACATTATAGCTTTAACTCCTCTTGATTATTCAACTCAATCCAATTCAGTATTAGTCACATTCAAGTACACTAAACAAATGTTCAAACTCGATTACCTTGCAAGCAGAGCTCTAAATGGAAACATTTTATTTACTTTTTTATTTATTTTTTTAATGTAAAATCTCAGTTTTCTGTTTGTATCACCAAGGTAATTAATTCCAAGGGAAAATGAATATAAAAATATGATTAGCTTAATTATAAGTTACTAAGAATTGAGAACTAGATACATAAAAAATTTGGGATTAACATGAAAACCTAAAATATTTATTCACCATTGTAAAATTACTAGTTGAAATTTAGGCATGTATGTTAAAAGATGTTAAGACTTAAAATTTAATTTTATTTCTTAAAAAGAGCTATATTATTAGTCACTTAACAATATGTTTCTACAGAAAAACCATTTGCTTCTCTAGATTGAATTATAGTTTTGGATCAAGTTTAAAAAACTGTTTCCAAGGAAAATTTGTAAAACGTATATTATGAGTACTATCGTTGCCTTCATTTGATAATAACCATTTATTTCCTTTTAGTTCATCTGAAACTCACATATACATGTGTCATGATAAATATGTACTCCACTATGTTCTACTTTTATATGTAATATACTTACTTCTATCAATAGTGACCACATTTTCTGTTCTAGTTTCTACTCCATTTTTATCTTTTTTTATAGTAATAGTATGTAAATTATCAGCAATTTGTCGTGATATAGTTGTTTCCTCATTTCCTTCACTGTCTTTAATTATTTCCTTTTTCTCTATTGTACCATCAGGTTTATGAATCAATTCTTTCCTTATAGACTTTCCAATTATCGTTTGATAAGGTAACATCACTTCTGATTTGTATTTATTTGGATCATATTTATCCCAAACATTAGAAAAATTATCTGGTGTAATCCTGTTCATACGAATGAAATATTTAAATAGGCAATTATAAACATATTAAATAAACAAGCAAACAAATACTAACTTTCCATCCAAATCTAAATCCAATTTTGGTTCTACTTGACTAAAATTTTCAGTATTAGGTTTCAACATTTGGTCGCGTAAATTTTCTTCTTGTGGAGATGTAAATGGAACTGCATTTGTAAATATATTTTGTTCTAAAAATATGTATTATGAACATAAAATTAGGATTATTTTCTTTCTGTAAGTGCATTTAAAATTTTTAAAAATACCTTCATTATGAAATCCAAAGAAAAATTGTTTTAATATATTATCCATTTGAGACTCAAAATATTTTGTGATCTCTAAAGGATCACTGACAATCCGGAAATGAATACCTCCTCTGAAATGCCTACAATTAGACATAAGTTATGAATTTATAAAATGGCAATTTAATAAAGAATATAACAATATATACTCTATATAAAATGTATAAAATTAGATGTCAGATATAGTAATAAAATTTAACTCACCTAAAATCATCCATATCATCATCATCATCTTCATCATTTTGCCAAATTGGATTTCTAAAACTATCTTTGTCATAATTGTCTCGGTAATCAAAGAATCTGAAACATTATACAATTTAAATTTATAATAAAAGTATAAGCATAATAAACAATGACGAAGACAACTTACACATGTGAATTGTCAAAATGACATTGTCATATTAAATAACGCTTTTAACTTATAACTAAAAATTTCTAATTAAAATTTACCCCTTGTTTTTGAGTTCTTCTGAATTTCCTCCACGAAATATATCACGAATAAAATTCCAGAAAGGCATTACTATGTAGACTGCTGCTGTTACTTGCAAGAGAAGTGAAATTACGTCATATTTTTTTGTAAATACATACACGAAATCTATACCGATATGAAGTTAGCTGAGTGACATCAGTTTTGCATGAACTTGTTCACGTCAGCTGATTTGGGCGTTGCAATTTATTTGCAATTACTTTATTTTGAATTATACAGGTGGAAAGAATATTATAAATAATATAATTGTGTGCATACAAAGTGAATATTTTGACGTATTACTATATTGATATGGCTAAATGGTAATGTTTAAAACACTTCTTATTTATTATTGTTACAAGTAAATCGAATTAATTTTTTTTTGTTATAAAATTTATTATAGTTACATGATCTATAAAAAAAATGTAGTAGTATTCTAAATTATTATAAGTTACCAGTATCAATACAAAAATATATAGGTTAATTTCCCTAATTAAAATGAAGTTACAGCAGTTCATAATACATACCTAAAAATTATTCTTAAATTTTAATATTCTTATTTTTCATTAAAGTTAAACATTTTTAGGTTTTTACGTTTATATTTCTTTTTTAAATTAAAGTGTGTGCTTCATTAATAATTGTATATATAATATTTATATTTTACTTTTCCTTTCAGATTTAGAGAAGAATAGAAATGATACTAAAGTATAAATGGATGAAGCAATGAGACATTTTTTTCTTAATAAGATGTAAAGGAATCTTGAATGTAAATTACAATGAATAATATATCAGGGCAATTTCGTAAAACAATATGGGATCCTTTTCTTATAATATCTCAAATAGTAGCTGTTCAATCAGTTATGTACTTTTGCCTTGTATTATGGATTTGGATCATTGCTTCGCTTCTTGGATCAACAAAATCATTAGATTATGCTTTCCATTATAAGGAGATACATGTTAGAGATTTTGCTGGGCAACTTACCATAATTATTTTTATTTTAAATGCTTTAGTGGGAGCATTTACATTATGGTGGTTAGTACAAAGAACAAAACAATGTATGGATTTTGCATGTACAGCACATCTAATACATTTGTTGTGTTGTTGGGTATACAATGCAAGTTTCCCTTCAACTTTTAGTTGGTGGTGTTTAAATATTGTATCTCTAAGTATAATGTGTGTTTGTGGTGAATTTCTTTGTATGAAAAGTGAATTACAAGCAATACCATTAGGTATGAATAGTCACAAAACAGCTTTGTAGCAGAAGTTACGTAAATATAATATTAAAAATTATAATTATACTCAATAAAGATAGATTAAATTTAAATTGAAAGAATTTTAGAAGAAATATCTCTTGTATTATATTTTAAACATTGATAATAATAAATATTTATTAACACATTTATTTAGAACTACTAGCATTATGAAATCTTTTATCTAATGGCCATCCTCTTTGTAGAAACGTAATCCACAATATCCACAGGTATGGTCTCCAGGTTTATCCTAAAACATTAAGTTTACATATATGTATCTTATGGTTAAATGAATTAAATTTTTCCACTGATTCTTCAGTCGTACCAAGTTAATGTAAACTTTTGGATGTCCCAATGGTCCACCACCACCATTACAAGCCACAATCCTATCCTTTGCCGGTTTTGGTGGAACTTCTGCTATTAGTTTAATAGCCCAATTATCATTAACTTCTTTTGGTCTGTCAACGAATCTTGCATTACGATAATCATTTTCATCGTATAACTGTTACAAAATAATTTTTGTAATAGAAGTAAAATTGTTTTATTGCATGGTTTTATTCATAAAGTAACTTACTTGACCAGTATGTGTTACTTTCTTAGCAGTATCACTAGTTACATCATGCAAATTTCGCGACAATATGCTTGTAAAGTTAAATTTTACTTTAGAAGTTTCAAGAAATCCAATAATTCTCCTAGATGCCATTTTTCTTAATCTTGATCCCTGCGTGAATAATACTGGGCATTGAGTCAGCGACGATAGATAGGATAGACTGAACATCTTATGAGACTTCATGGCCGAATGTCTGAAATACCGATCGTGTAAAAAAAGGAAACGTTTTGATATGCTTTCTACGATTTAGAATGGCGAGTATACGAATTATTATCGAAGCAACGATTGAAGTTGGTAAAATTAGTAAATGCATAAACGAGATATAGGATAGATATAATACGCAATGTAAAATTTTCTAATACGCTCTCGGAGGTCCTTGGACCGCCTTACCATTTTCATGTCACGTTCTGTCATATCGACTAAGGCTAGTTTTGTATGACAGCGCTATAAGTGATAGGAATTAGAATCAAAGATATTAAAATTTTAAATGACATGGAATTGAATGTCACGACGTGACGTTACAACAGTAAAATAATGTAGTAACTGAGGACAACGATTGATATAAATTGAAACACAGTTGAACAAAAGGTAGAAAAATTTTAATATTGTCCACTTATAATGATCTCACTCAAATTTACTATTAAACGGTTATTAAAGTTATAAATTGAATAAGGAGCTATTGGTAAACAATAATCTGTTGTGATTGAGTAAAATCTTCACAAATTATAGGGTGTGTACAACTCACTAAACTGAGTCAAAAAATCCCATTGAACCGCATTGAACATGGGTCCAAAACTCAATAGTTTCAGAGATAAAAATAGGTTTAGTTTAAAAAAGAATGTATGGGGACCGAATCAAGAACACCGAATTATCTCGAAAGATATTGGTCATACGAACAAATGCGTCAAACAAAAGATACATGGTATGAAATACTACATGTAACGGTGGGAGGTATTTGACCGTGAGGTGACCTTGTAACGTCCTGCAGAGGTCGCCTCACAATTCTTAAATAGAACCCCATACTTTCTATTCCATATTTTTGAAGTCGACATTCAGACGTTTCCAAACCAAAAAAACTAAAATTTTTTGTGTTAACCGTTATCAAGACGTCAACATTCAAAGTTGTTGGTTCATCGGTAGTGATTGTAACAGACGGACATACTAACTGAATCGACTGTATGTCAATTGCGTATGAAAACAATTCAAGGTCGTCAAGATTCGACAAACGAAGAACATATACTGGTTTTTCGTCCTGTAACGGTGAAGTTTCAATTTCAGTCGTTTGTAACATCAGTCTCAAGCTATTCTTGTAAGACTGTATTACAGATATTTATGCAGATGTGGGTAAGATTCACTGTAGCGGAACTGGAGGGGTGGTTATGTGTATAAGAAAAAATAACTCTCACACTGATTCGTTGTTCATTTTATCAAATTCTTTATTAATATTTAAAAATAAATTAGTTTTGTAAGTTGACATACAGTGTCGAAAATGATTATATTTTCAGCCAAATTGTTTTATTTTCATGTGTAGTAGCTTAAAAATCTATTATTTACAAATGTCGCCGAGGAATCACAAAACACTTATAATAAAGGCTATTCTAACAGGAATACTATAACTGTACTTATGTTAATAAATGTAGCGTTAATCTTAAACGCTAGAATATAATTATCTGCGAGGACGCTCTTTCCCAAGTGCTGATCGAGGAAGCATCCCATGCGAAAGTTGCAACAAGAATAAACGTTTGGAAAATCTGCCAGTTTCTCTCGGCAGGCCGATTCCATTATTCCTTCAGCAGCTCCGGGAAAAACATGTGTTCCTTCGAAAACGTCGGTTTGGTCACAGTCTCCAGCGTAGGTTTAATTGGCACCCTTTTCGAGAGTGTGGACAGTGGGTTTGGAGCATCTTTTGATTTTTAAAATGTCCCCTTCACTAAGTCTCAATATAAACAATTTAAAATGTTAATACTATATGACATAAATTTATAAAATCGAAAATGTTTGTTTGATATAGTTCTTATTCATCGTTCTCTAGGCGTAGAGGGCAGAGCAAATCCTCTGACTTTTTACACAGTTGGTAATTCAGAACATGTGATACCGAATTTCATAAGCTTGTAATGTCTAACCTATACTTCGTCTGTCGTAAATATAAAGAATTCTCTCTCAAAGTTTGAATTATTATAGTGTGTGGTGGTGGTTTACTATTAGATGATATTGAAAATGTGCATCTTTAGTAAAAAGAGAATTAGGAAAACAACAATATATTTAATAAGATAAAGGAAACAATACGGACAACACGTAAAAATACAACACACGACTCTCGCACCAAAAATGTTCCTCTCCGCTGTCGCTCACCAAAATGTCCTCATGCACGCATTTCCACTCGCTTTTATCACACACCCCCATTCGCTCTGTCTTTCTCACCCTTGCACCCTTCTCACTCGCATCTTTCGTCCATAGTCAAAATTCACGCAGTCACGTACACACTTTTCTCACGGTTCAGTCGCTCAGTTCCAAACACTCTTCCTCGCATTCTTTCAGCCACTCGAAATTGTCTAAACGCAGTCACACTATTTTCCAAACATCCCGGCGCCGGTCCGTCGTAATACGACCTGGTCGCCCTCACGCACGCACAACAAACCATTCATCCTACAATAAATATTCCAGATACTACATTATTTACACACACAGATCTCATGACTAGATTGTCTCTATCAGCCGTTAACACATTAAGCACCGTGTCAGTTATCGATGACTGATAGTATACTTTTTGTACAAGCGCGTCAGTCGCTGTTGACTGACGATGTACAATTTTAACCCTTCGCACTCGAGAGGTGACTCTCAGTCAACACCTGATTTCAAACAGTAAAACTATAAATTTTCATATTTAATATTATACCTTGCATAACTGATCAATTCAAAAAATATTGAAATAAAATAGCTTTGTTCCTCAATGTACCTCAATGTAATATAATTTCTCTTCGAGTTAGTTTCACTAAATATTGTCTGTACCTCATTACAAAATGTTCAAATATTTCTAGTGAAAAACTTCCGAGTGCAAAGGGTTAAAAATTATATATATTTATATACAGTCGGGGATAAAAGTGTAAGTGGACAGGTAGTAAAAATGACTATTAATGATGTTTAATGAAGATAATTGTATTGTTATATAACTACATTTTATTGACAACGTATTTTCATTGTATATACTGTAGAGCTACTAAAATAAAAACTAAGTCCGTAGTCAGGTTAATTATATTTATTACGCGATGTGGCTCTAACGAAGAATGGCGACTAACTGCTTTTCCTCAACGCTTTTCTAAGAAGGAAAACTTTTTAGACGAGGGTGTACGTGACCCAGGTCCTGGTGGTCCCCTTGGTCATAAATTAGTCAATAGGCTTGGACTATCTCTCAGGCCCCCAAGTATTGACACGCAAAAGGGCGAACTGTCTACAGTTCAGCCATCCCTGACAATAGTGACCGTCCTCGGTCACGAGTGCTTACGTTAAAGTGCTAATAAAATCCTAAACATAAGAATGACTTAACAATAATGAACTGTCTCCCTGATACATAAATAAAATACCGAATACACACTCCATACAATGCACACGTTATACAATATTCCTAAGTCTATCATAACACTCACACACCATAACGATCATCACACAGTCTTTTAATTATTTTACGAGGCCCTAAGAATTTATTTACCGGCTTCAAGCCTGGGCCTTGCCGAATCCGCTTTCGCGTTACAATGCCATTGACGCTGTACTTTCTCGCTTCTATCCTATTTTTGTCATACGCCTTTCGATTTTCCGCCTGTCTTTCGCTCGCTTGTACCCGAATCTCAGCCCGCTGACTACCATGCACCTCGTACATTTTCTCGGTCTCGACTCGCATTTGGGTCAGCTCCTTCGCTTTCCCTAGTCTACCGTTTATATTATTTTCGTTTTTACCCACCACTATACACGATGACAAAGAATTACGATTCAAAGCATCCACATAGTCATTGAGCTTAACGTCTTCAACTTCTCTCTCAACTAAAGGGGTGATGATTACCTCTAAGCTATCTACCTTTGAAATTACCTTAACATTGCGAACAATATTCTCGTTTTCAATCTCTATTAACCCGTTAGTCTTTAAACTCTCTTCAGATTTGACAGGCGTGTTCGGTATCAAGAAAGAAGCCTCATTCGATAAGTTTGTGCAATTCCCCCTAGTAACCGCGGCATCACAAAAGTCCAACGAAATAGTCCCTAATTCCTTACTAGTATTATCTTCGGTCGCTTGACTGCTGTTGTTCAATAAATTCTTAGGAGTTTCCGTAATCGCGACATTAAAATCGTTTACAGGCGATAAAAATTTGGCCAACGCATCCTTCGCGTTGTTAGCCTCATAAACATCGTTTTCGGTGCCGTTTAAGGCGCTTATCTCACGCTCGTAAACAAATACCTCCTTCATGTGCTTTTCACCTGTCGTCCGTCGCACTGCCAAGCTCTCTTCGGTTGCTGATATCTTCCTTGGTGATGCCCTCCACGCTTCACGTTGCTGGGATTCGATGTACCGCCGCTGCTGTGGCCCATCGTCCCTTGGCTGCACCCCGTTGTCTTGTCCCTGCGCTACGTCGTCCCACTGCTAAATCCTTTCGTCCCGCCATAGGGGCGCGTTTTCCCGTCACTGAAATTCCTCCCATCGTCGGGGGCCTGATGACGCTCGCCACATCGCCCCGCTTCCATGCTGCAGTGCGTCGTCGGGCCGCTGCAGTCCCGTTTCGTATTTAAGGGGGGAAATACCTTTAGAACTTTAAAAAATCGCAACATTTTTTTTCTATAGGATATTAGTATAACATCTTAAGAGTATGGTGCCAAAGTTTTAAAGCGAAATTCGGAGCCCTTCTGATGCTATACCCCATAATCGGGACTCATAGGCGGTAGCCCACCGCAGGTATATATTCACGCGCTTGAAGCGGAGGACCCGCCTTTCATAATTCCCTCGTTTCAATCATTGTAAACATGTTACTTTACATTGTTTGCGTTATACAAGAAAAATTATCATACTGCCGGCTTCGAAATATTAAAAAGAAACAAAAAACCTCGGTGGAAAAGGCAAGCTGATTGATGCGCTTATCAGGAAACTCAGCGCATACTATGGCTTAGCCATACGAAGAAATATTCATAGTGTGGAAAATATGAAGAAAGCTATAATGACCTCGTATTATCACTTATGCTCCACCAAAGAAAATCCAAGGCACGAATACTGTCTGGTAGGAAATGACAGCTGGTGCAAGTGGCAAAAAGCTCTAGCTACAGGAGTAAATTTGGACCTTATAGAACATCCTGCATCACTACATCCAGACGTGCAGAAGCACATCCTACATCCATCCTTCCATCCATCCTTTATATGTATATATATATATATATATAAAATACGGTGTACAGTTTTGTTAAAATACGGTGTACACAAAAATGGTTATCATTTGCAGCTTTCACAGAACATTATAACTTGTTTTGTCAACTTTCTGGCAATATCACGTCCAAGTCGTGTTGCATTATATCATAAACATTATTTTTTTCAAACTCTGTTTCAATTCTTCTTTATTCTTCATAGGTGTTGTCCTTATTCTTCTGTTTAAATGATCCGATAGGTTCTCTATAGTATTAAGATCTGAGGACTGAGGCAGAGGGTGTAAAACTTTTATGAAATTATATAGTAGATATTCTTGTACGATCCTTGCCTTATGCTTCGGATTGTTATCCTAGTAGAATTTAAAGCTTTTTCCAACACTCATATTAACTGCACTTGATA